AAAAAAATGAAATGTGTGTCAAATTATTGGATAGCACCTCCCCAGTTGGAGATGCTTTTATTCATACTTCCCTTGGGCATTTGTCTATTCAGGTCAAATGTGAGGTTCACAACTTGAGAAGAAAAAGAAAAACTGAAAGGGGAGAGGAAAGGGATGGGAAGACTTGAACAATAATGCCAAAGAGTATACAAATCAGAAAATTGCAGCTTCCTTTGAATGAGGGAATTGGATGAGAAGACTTGTTCAAATTTGGTATATTTGATTATGGAAGAATGACCGAGTGAGTGGACCACTTCTGGGATCATCCAAAATGGCACTAGTTTCAAATAATGCGGTCAATAAATAGGAATTATATATATTATCACAGAGTCTTTATGAAAGTGAGATCTTATTTCACAAACTATAGCAAGGACCTAAGGAGAACCAACCAATGAGGTCTTCAAAATTCCCAAAAAAAGCAGCTCAGTGCCATAGAAACTTTTAAGAAAGAGCTCATATATGAATGGCTGGAAAATTGAAAATCCATTGAAGGCTTTTATATAATATGTGGTTACATCTTCTGTGCTCCTCCTTGCTGCTCATCACAACAGCAATAATATTTTCCACAGCAGAAGACATAAGCACATTTCAGTCCATTGCAGATGGTGAGACCGTAGTCTCAACAGGGGGAACCTTTGAGCTTGGATTCTTCAGCGCTGGTGCTTCAAAAAGCCGATACGTGGCGATATGGTACAAGAAGATACCGGTTGCCACCATTGTATGGATTGCCAACAGAGACACACCCCTCACAGGTTCATCAGGTGTACTCAAGGTAAGCAGCCCTGGAATACTTGTCCTTGTTGACCAAAAGAACACTACAGTTTGGTCTTCCAACACATCGAGTTCTGCACAGAATCCAGTGGGAAAACTTTTGGATTCGGGAAATCTTGTTGTGATAGATGGCAATGATAATAATGACACGGAGAAATATTTATGGCAGAGTTTTGATTACCCAGGTGATACATTACTACCGGGTATGAAGCTTGGTAGGAACAAAATCACAGGTTTCA